CACGCCTTGGGAGCCCATCTTGGGTGTTCGACCATTTTTTTGCGAAATAGAAAAGTCCTACAAATCGATTTGTAGGGCTTTTTAACATGAAATTGGTTCCGTAATCGACCTACCCAATGCATATTACACATAAAAGAGTCGAAATTACATCAAAAAATCGAAGCCCAACCCTTCTTCAAGCTTGATTTCGAATTTTCGAATTTTTTTTTTCTTTTTTTTTTGCTATTTGCAGTTTTGGGGGGGGGGTTTTGATATTTTTAAAAGTTTTGGGGGGTTTTGTTAGAAACCGCGAATAGCAATCTTGTGACCGCAAATAGCATTTTCGTTTATTTTTCAACATGATCTTTTTACGGATTCTATATTGATTGAGCAACTCCTTAACTGTGTGATTTGTATGTTTTCAACAGATTGAAAATAAGTTCGAGCAACATAACCCATCTGTCACTTGCAATTAATTCTCTAATGAAGATGAAGGAGAAAACGAGGATTAACTTATCTTTGTATATTTCAAATTCATGTTTGGATGATTTAACTTAAATGTGAATTTTAAAGTAGTGTATATAAAATTTGAGTTGTTTAATGTTTTAATTGTAATGTTATATTACTAGTATTGTTTATAATTAAAGGTTTAACAATAAAAAAAATTAAATCATCAAATAACAAAAACAACAAAAAATATTGCGACGATTTTGTGGAAACGTCGCAATCTTAATTTAAATTTTGCGACAAAATTTATTACAACTAAACGTCGCATCAAAAAAGCGACATTTTATTTTAGTCGCAAATTTATCATGGATTTTGCAAATTTATCATGGATTTTGCGACAATTACCAAAAGATTTGTCGCAATATTTCAGTTAACGAAAAAAATTAAATATTTGCGACGTTTCTCCAAAAAGGTCGCAAACCATGCGACACTTTTTACTTTTCGTCGCAGAAATTTGCGATGGGCAGTTTTTTGATGTTTTTTCGCGTCTGCTTCGTCGCAAACATTCTGTCGCAAAAATTATTTTTCCATCGCAATTAAGCTTTTTTCGTCGCAAATTTACGTCGTCTGAAATGCATTTTGGTCTAGTGACAACTTTAGTGAAATTCCATGACTTTTTGAAAAAAAATTAACATACCCATCTGCCACATGAAGTACATGCCACATGAAGTACATATTATACCCTTTTAGAATCAGATTTAAACAATAGTCAACCACAACTCTAGATTCTATCTCATTCTTCTTTCAGAGACATAACTTTCTCTTGACGGTAGGACTTTGATGGTTTAACTATTGTTGAATTTCTCTCGTCGAGCTATTTCTTTTGACGGTAATTGCTTACATTTTTTAGCTCTGAAATCTGTTTATGCAATCGTTTTACGGTGGATGTGTTTGACGGATTACTCACCATTAGATTCCTCTTGTCGATGTTTATCTTTGGTGTTAGTTTTGTTCAATTTTGATACTCGGATATGTTTCTACGATGATTTTCATTGCGCGCTCGCGCTCCGAACCTTGGGTGATTAGCGGCGGCTGAAATTTTGGTAGGATGAGCTTGGGTTGAAGAGTCCTTGACTATTTCGTGGAAAACTATGTCCTCTCTCTCTGAATTTTCGCCGATTTTGAGTATTATGGAGCTTCATCAATTTTTTGGTAAATTTATCTTAAATTTAAATTGAATAACACAATATTGTATGCAATGTTCCTAGTATGATCTCCGCCGAATAACACAATTAAATAGAAGGAATTGTTTGATTTTGTAATTGCACGTTAATGAAAGTCATTAATCTTCTCCATTTACTTTTCCTTAACAATCACATAATATCTTTGATTTTCCAAACTCAATTTTTTTTTTGATAATAAATATTAAAAAATAGTTTTTAATTTTATTCTAAATATTGCTTAAAATTTAAAATGATAAAATAGAATAATTGTGTAAAATATAAATTATTCTAATTGGAGTGAATTATTAAAAGGGGGCAACTAAAACAAATCCCAATTTTTTCTCACTTCAGTACCTCCAAGTTTAAAACCATTTTTTATCGAAGTTTTAACAATTTTTTCTTAGTTTAAAACCATAAATAAATAAAAAATTGTTAGCAAAGTACAAAAATGCCCTTCATCAACCAAAATACAATTTATACAAACAATTTTTTTATTCCTCACTTCAATACCAAGGAAAAAAAGAAAAACAAATCATCTCTTCTTCTCCCCAAACTCAAATCCCTTAAACCCTATCTTCTTCATCTTCTTAAATCCTCCAAAACATCTCCAAATTAAAAAAATCAAAACCTCACAAAACTTATAAAATGGAGTTATAAGACAATAATATGGTAGTATATATGGATAGAGAACCCATTAAGGTATGTATCCATGTATTTTTTGAGCTTCGAAGTCGATTTTGAAGTTTTTTTTTTTTGAAACCCGCCGGCAAATTTCGACACATACAGGTCGATTTTTTAGTCAATTTTCGACACCAACGTATCGAAAAATATATTAAAAAAAAAACAAATTTCGACACATACCTGTCGAAATTTCTCCCAATTTCGACAGGAATGTGTCGAAAAT